TTCCAAATTACTTTGCTTTTTAAGGACAAAATCGATTGTAGCGATAATACCGAGAATTAATATTATGCATTTAACTTCAATTTCAGGATTAGAATTTTTTTAGTTGTTTCTTTTTTCTTTATATTCTTGAAAATTTGAGTAAAGAGAAATAGTGCATGTTTGGTATTGAATTTTCCCCTCAAAAAATCAATTTTTTTACTGTTATTTCACTATTCCAGCCGTCATTTTAAATTTCTTCTTACACAGACATAACATGCTTTTCTTTTTAACGGTCAAAAAATCAATTCTCAAAATCACTATCAAACAAGCTTATAGTCTCTACAAATGAAATAGCAATCCCTCCATTTCATATATAATTTTAAAAACATCAAATTAAACCCATTAGATTATCTAAATAATTAGCGAACTTTTGTCTCTAAAATATTAGTTTCTTTTAATCAATTTTCTATCTGTCTTTTCAAATTTCACGTGCTTAGTATATAGTTTTTTATATATGTTTAAAAAATTTATTCATTATTAATTTAATTACGTTGATGTCTAATATTTACTCAATTTCACAAAAGTATTAGCGTGAAATATAATTAGCAAGAAATTATAATGAAAAAATGAAAAAATTCATTTCAGTGAAAAAAAAGGTAAAATTGCAACATTTGTCCCGACTTAGTATCCTTGTAGCTACTTGGTATCTGACTTATATTTTATGGACATCATCACAAACTTTTCAATTTTCGCAACATCGATCTCTATTTTAGGACAAGATATACCCAACAGTTTTCCTTGATGGGGCCTGAGAACCTATCGAGTTTGTGTGTTTTTTAAAAAAAAGTTTCTATTTTTTGACAACCTGTTTTAATATTTAGCCCCTGTTTGGCCCCATTTTTTGAAAATGAAAATGGGTGGAATAGTGTTTTTTTTTTTTAAAAATGAGTGGTTGAAAAAATCGGAAAAAATTTTCGATTTACATATAATATTATTTTCTAGGAAATTGTGATTGAAAATAGAAGAGAGAAAAATGGAATGCAATGTAATTGAATTTAATGAGAGCCAAACAGTTACTTTACATATTACATAAGAATGTAGAAATTAAACTCTTGTTTATTCGGTCTTATAAATAGAGTATACGTATCAAATATGTACTGATTATATAAGAATTAATAAAACTACTTGTACAATGTTGGATTACAAAAGTTGGATTACAAAGTGTGTTGGCTAAATTCAGGCCATTGATTTAAAATGATTTAAAAATCTGTTTTTGAAAAGATTGGTGTGAATATTATTTTGTTAACCAACCTTGTAATCCACTTTTGTAAGTGTAGCATAGCTAATAAGAATAGATTGAAGTCTGAATACGATAATCAAGCTCACGAGACTCACAAAACTTGTGCTACATGATTCGAGTGCCTGAGATTATACAAGTATTAATTGTTAATTACATATACATTGAATAGGATAATCAAGCTCACAAAACTCTCGTTATATGGCTCGGTATCACGACATTATGTAAGCACTAATTTTTAAGCACAAACAAAATATATAGAATAATTTAGCTCACAAGATCGTGAATGTTACATTACATGTCTCAAAGTCAAGACAATGGAAGTTACGTTAGTCGCCAAGCACAAATACGCTGAATAGAATAATGGATAATTCTATATGTACATTATAACATACATAAGGATATTCATAATGTACAAGTGGTAGAACATTATTGGAGAGTTGAAAAAATAGTATTGGGGTAACAAGACTTGCAAGAGTTATGTTATCTCACGCGACATCACGATATTATATAAATAATATCAATTAATAAGTGTCAATTCACTGGCGACAAGTTGTTTTTTAGTACAACCACAATATGACTCACCAAATGCTTGCGTTTAAATTTGAATTTGGTAGGTAGGAATTAATTATGTATGGTGAAATTACAGAAATCCAGCATTATTTTGCATTTAATTAAACAGTACCAAACCTGGCATTAGGTGTGTTTGACTGTGACTACAAACTAGGCACTCTCTATGCAGGGTACAAAAATTTCATCTTTCTCCTTGCTTTTTGACTTATTTACTTATAATTTATTATGCCATTTCTCGTTTTCGAATTTTTAATATTAGACCCTAATCTTTCTTTAATTAATAAATAGTCCAAAAGAGTGACTCAACAAAGATAATTCAAAAATAAGTAATTGTGGTATTTTTTTTATGCAATGATAATATTTTAAGGTATTTTTCTATATAAACCTAGTAAATAAATTCCATGAATTTTCAATGAAAAACATGTGTAAAATTTTTAAATATATTTTTTAGTCAATTTGACATTATTATATGCATCAGAGATGAAAAAAAATATTTTTACTCTACATAATGCACAGTTATGAAGTTATTTCCCACATTTCACAAAAATCAGGTGTTTATCTGGTACTCGTATATTTATTTAAATATTTGTAACGCATCGATTGACGTTCACATTTATTGTTTTCATTGATATGCATCGTTTTCATTGCAACGACGTCTCAAATGATTCATATTCTGTATGAATTGACCTTTATGTTCATCGTTTCCGTTGCTCTTATACACTTGATAATGTTATACAAACTTGAGTATAAAAATCTCGTCGAATATTAGTAAACAAGGCAATCGTGATAACAGAGTATGTCAAGATGGATGGAAATTTGCGTTTCCTTGTTTACGAATTTCCAGTTTTGTCATCCATTTCACAAAATGTACTTGTATCTTCGTGCTTGCAACTATTTCTTTGTATGCAGTACAAATTATATAAATATTTGATAAATTGAATTATTATTTTTAGGTGTGACATTTGAGATCTAGATCAAAGTCAATTTTTTCTTTATATTCTTGAAAATTTGAGTAAAGAGAAATAGTGCATGTTTGGTATTGAATTTTCCCCTCAAAAAATCAATTTTTTTACTGTTATTTCACTATTCCAGTCGTCATTTTAAATTTATTCTTACACAGACATAACCCGCTTTTCTTTTTAACGGTCAAAAAATCAATTCTCAAAATCACTATCAAACAAGCTTATAGTCTCTACAAATGAAATAGCAATCCCTCCATTTCATATATAATTTTAAAAACATCAAATTAAACCCATTAGATTATCTAAATAATTAGCGAACTTTTGTCTCTAAAATATTAGTTTCTTTTAATCAATTTTCTATCTGTCTTTTCAAATTTCACGTGCTTAGTATATAGTTTTTTATATATGTTTAAAAAATTTATTCATTATTAATTTAATTACGTTGATGTCTAATATTTACTCAATTTCACAAAAGTATTAGCGTGAAATATAATTAGCAAGAAATTATAATGAAAAAATGAAAAAATTCATTTCAGTGAAAAAAAAGGTAAAATTGCAACATTTGTCCCGACTTAGTATCCTTGTAGCTACTTGGTATCTGACTTATATTTTATGGACATCATCACAAACTTTTCAATTTTCGCAACATCGATCTCTATTTTAGGACAAGATATACCCAACAGTTTTCCTTGATGGGGCCTGAGAACCTATCGAGTTTGTGTGTTTTTTAAAAAAAAGTTTCTATTTTTTGACAACCTGTTTTAATATTTAGCCCCTGTTTGGCCCCATTTTTTGAAAATGAAAATGGGTGGAATAGTGTTTTTTTTTTTTAAAAATGAGTGGTTGAAAAAATCGGAAAAAATTTTCGATTTACATATAATATTATTTTCTAGGAAATTGTGATTGAAAATAGAAGAGAGAAAAATGGAATGTAATGTAATTGAATTTAATAAGGGCCAAACAGGGGCTTAATGAAAAGTCAATTATACCTTACTTTTAGTTAAAGTGAAAAAATAATAGCATAAACAAAAATCTAAAAAAGAAACGAGAAAAAGAAGCTCACTTGCTTCTGCCTTCCACCTAGTTATCAAAGGTGATTCTTCCCTTTCTCTCTTGTCGTTGACGATGACTCCCCATTTGTTTAGATTGAGTCTCGAGGAGTACCCTTGTGTAGTGCAGAATCTGAGTCTATAATTTTTATAATCCCGACTCAAAAATTGTTTTTCATAAAGAACAGTGGAGAACAGATAGGTGGAAAATCATATATATCAAATTCTAGCACATTGAAACACTTCAATCTCGTGAATGCTCAAGTTTTTCTTCATCAACCTCTAGTAATAACATGATATTGTCTTAAAACACCTTGAGATCATTGACATTACATACATCAACATCATGAAAAATGTGTTAATTATTGATGGTTAACAGAGTGGAAGGATAACACAAGATTATCAGTCAAGAGGTGGCCAATGGTTGTGAAGGTGACATATAGTGTGCAAAGAAAATGATGATGATGATGTCGATAAAGAGTCCAAGACAATCATTTTAGGGAGAATCAATTCCATTCTTGGTGAGTGCAGGACATCTAGGGTGAAATTACAGAAATCCAGCATTATTTTGCATTTAATTAAACAGTACCAAACCTGGCATTAGGTGTGTTTGACTGTGACTACAAACTAGGCACTCTCTATGCAGGGTACAGAAATTCGTTACTAGGGTGTGCTTATGGAAATTTTGAACTCAGATTCGCATTAGACAGGGGTGGATCTGGTGGTTCAATCCCAACAAACTGGGAGCCTTCAGTGCGAGGCAAGGGTGGGTAAAGTTGTCATCGCGACTAGATTGAAGTTTAAATGGGGTTTCTTTTATTTTCCCATTTTCGGTTCTTGTTTTTTTATTTTTATTGATCAAATAAATAGAAGCCATCGACGGACCATCGATGATACAAAATCCTAAGACTGCAAACAACTCTACTAAAAAAAAGTAGTCTTAGGATCAAACTGCCACAAAGTCATAACTTAGAGACCAATGAAAATTTTCTTTAAAAGAAACCTTAAAAGTGTTAAACCTGGAAATATTTAAAGGGCAAATACTGAAAAGTCAAATCTTTAAGGAGAGAAAAAATTGATAAAAAAAGAAAAAGAAAAATCCGCTCTTGGAACAGCCCACTGGAAATCCAACAATGGCCCGTGGTTTTCCATTCCTCCCTCAAAACCAACTGTAAATGTAACCAGTAACCCCTTGCTCCTGCTCCTCCATATATACCCCGTTCCCCACCCCCGACTACCACCTACCCTCGACCCACAACTCACCAAATCATTCTCATCTTCATCTATGATCCATCATGCATAAACTGCACAGAAGATATGCAAACTTTCACATCTCAATCAGTCATTTAACTTTCTACAGAAAATTTTAAGTACATATAGTAGTTCTGTGTAGGGATAATAAAGCTGTTTGTTGGGACAGCCCGCTATTCTTTTCTTGGTTTTTCATATCATTTTCTTGAAGTTCTTGAAATACCCATATCAAAAATTTGTATTTTTGTGTATTTTTTTGGATGCAAATGGGGATTGAGCAAAGTGGGTCTGGTGGGAAAGGGAAGGTGAGCAATGAATCAAGGAGGAACAAGCGGAGGCAGAAGAAATTATCGCCGGTTCAGAAGATGTATGAAACCTGCCATGATGTTTTTGCCAATTGTGAACCTGGCGTTGTTCCAGCAGCTGAACAAATCGAGAAACTTGCGGCTTGTTTGGGTATAAATTAATCTTTTCCCTATTGTAATTCTCAATTTTGTTGTGTTTCTCAATCATCGTATCTTTGCGATGCATTTGTTGCTTCGTAGGAAGATTATTCTAATGTCAAATACTGTCTATCCTTGTTTTTTATTATTTTTTGTACAAAAATATCTGCATATTTCTCTGGTTCAATGCTGGAGAAACGTGGAATTTTATAGCTGTTATTTCTGTGGCATTGATACAATTTCTGTTAAATTTTTGTATGCATTAAATGGCTTCATGTTTTATAATAAAATGCTGGTAATGCTTTCACGTTTAGAAAATGCTTCATGCACGACATAATTTGTTTATTTCACCGGAAGATAACCTATATAAAACCGTATGAATGCCACATTCTTCAAGCGTATCAATGTCACGGTTCTTTGTTAAAGCTTATTTTAATAATCAAATTTCTTATTCATTTCTATTTGGTTTCGGACATTTAATTCTCAATGTGGGGTCGTCTCATTTCAGATATTATTGTTTTGGGTTACGTTACAATTACATATTTGGTACACCGTACTCATAGTTTTGCTTTCCTCTTCTTCCTTGTACGTTCAATACGATTCCGCCTATCATACAAGCAATAAATATCTCATTGTTCAGGGTGATATGTTCCTACGAATGACCTCATGGCTAACATGGGTTTCAAACGGAATAAATTCTTGTATGCATGCAAATTTGCAAACTGCTATTTATTTCAATTTTGAGTCCTACGACAAAGCTAACTATACTTAATTCTTGCAGATAAGATGACTCAAGCAGATGTCGGCCTGAAGCCAAATATGCTATTTTTCAACGATAAAAGAGCTCCCGTGATAACCTATCTGCACCTTCATGAGTGTGAAAAATTCTCAGTATGTAT